TCACATGTTTATTGAAAGTGGATAGAAATAGAGTGTGGGTGATCAGTGTCAGAGGAACAGATGTTTGACCAGAGGACCTTCAGACTCAAGGACTCATATATGTCCGATGGAAACTTCAGTGACATTTCAATTTGTGCCAGGAGCTGCAATCATGAACTTATTATAAGCCAAAGTTGCATCTTAAAAAAAGATACGTACAGAAGGTCTAGTGCTCCAGGTACAACATTGTACCTGCGGTTGACAATACTATATGGTGCCCTTAATGTAAGTGCTCATGGTAAGTGTTCTTGCCACAACAAAATAAATAAAATAATCATTGTTTGTGTCTTTACAAAAGTGAAAAGTCTAATACATAGGGAGTATTTTCTCTTTGCCCGCACACCGAGCAGAACTCTTCCCTGGCTCTGGTACGTTCCCTGCACAGCTCTCTAAGAAGCTATTGCTGTCAGAAGCCCTATTGACACAGGAGGAACGGAGCCTCTGGGACATAACAAAGCAAGTGAAACCTGAGCTCTTACCTGCCAGGTTACAATACTTCCCTGCCGTGCTGAAAGCTATGTGGAAGCAACTAGAAGTCAGATTTTTCAGCAGGTCAAAACATTTGTTAACAGGATAGAGTATGTTTCTGTTTTTCTAGTTGAGTTGCTTTGCAAATGGAATGGGGGGGTGGGTGGGGAGTGCTTAATTTGATCCGTGGCATTTGTCTTGTTTCTTATTTTATTATAGATACATAAAATTATAAGAATCCTATCCCTTTCATCATTTTAAACTCTACTGTGGGCCCTCTGTCCAATGCCTATGGGCTAGCTAGATTGGTAGGTGGTTGGAGCAGTGAAGCCACCCTTCCATTAGAGGGATATTTCTCTTTATGATATCTTGAGAATTTCCTTGTTGTTGCTACTGCTCTGCTTTTAGCTGTCGGCGAGCACATTCGTCCTGTCCACTTTCCTGCCCTACTCTGAGGAGATGGCTTGTGCAAACATTTCTCTGAAGACAATCTGAATACATATGTGGCTCATGCGACAATAGACTAATGCTTCTCAAGGTGCCTTCAAATTACTTAGGAGTCCGACTAAAATGCGGGACCTGAGATACTGCCTTTTTAACAAGCTCTTGAGGGAAGCTGAGTGTGCTTTTCTGTATGGACCACAATCTCAGTTCTAAGGCCCTTAAAACTTTTCAGTTTTTCTTGGGTCTGGACAGAACATCTAGTTTGATTCTAAAATCATGGAAAAGGCCTTCCGTATGATTTTCTCATTTTCCCTAAGTTTTTATATATCTGATCATAAAAATCAGTTTGGCACAAATTAAGTTATATATTTTTATGTTTGCAAACAAAAGTATTTCTAAAAGCTATTTAAAAATAAAATGTTTCCATTTGGGCCCCAAATCTATCAGTTAAAAATATTTCTCTTTTTGCCTTCCAAACTTTTAAAATGTATACCTCTGATGTAAATGAGATTGTGGAGTTATACTTGAAACTTCTAGAATCATCTGGTTACCAGAGAGCTGCACAACCTCCAACCCCATCTTGGGGCAGGCAGGTATAAGACCCTTTGGCCGGTATAAGCTAAATCCAGAGCTCTGGGCATTAAAAGGAGAAAATAAAACTTTAGAATTGCTCTGGAATTAGCTCCTTGACCCAGCAGCCCTATTCCAACAAGAGTCAATCATGGAATTTCTGAAGTATGGTAGCAACCATACTTCAGTAAAAACTGATCTTTGAATTTTAATCCTGCTATTCTGGCTTTTGCACTCAGTAGCTCCAGGAGTTAAAACTGCAGATAACCTTTAGAGATTCACTTTGCTCAGCTCTGCTTCTGTACTATATGCTATCATAAGATAGGTCCACATTCCTACATCCAGCAGAATGTGGCTGGGAATGACCCTATGGGCTGTTCCCAGACTTTAGAATTTAAAATTTAGAACAAAGGAAAATTTTTAAGTTTAATCAATTAGCAGCCTATGATGGTTTTATTTTGACTCCAGGGTTCAACCCCACAACAATTTCCTAGATTTTTCAGGTACCTTTGTCACTAAGCTCTTCCTGTTATTATCAGCATCATTCATTTTTGCTCCAACAAGGGGATATATATGTAATAGAGGTAAATGTAAAACCCCTACACTGGGTCTCAAGATCAAATTGCAAAAAAGTATAATGCAACAGACATAGAAAATTGTGTTCTCTATCAATTTAATATAAGTGATCAGGATACAGTTATTCAGTCTAGGAATCCATTAGTAGAACAATAGTGCCTAAGGCAAAAAAAAAAGGGGGGGGGGAAAAGGACCAGCTTCCTCTACTTTGTATTTGGTAAAGCCATACTTGTGATTGTATGGTATTCAGACGTGTGTGTATGCCAAGGTGTGTGTGTGTGTGTGTGTGTGTGTGTGTGTGTCTGAGTCACAGAGGTATGGGAAGGCAAAAGAAAGGGCATTTGTGATTTAGGAGAAACAATGAAAAAGATAAACAGGTTTAAAAAACCTGTTAACACCTATAACACATAGAAATATTTACCTTTGAAGGGTATACATGTGGACTTTAGAGTAGAAGCTAGTGAGACATCGGTAATGAGTGGATGGATGAACATATAGGCACCTAGTGAATTCATTCTATGTGCTAGGCATTCTGCTGAGAACTGTACATATACAAAATGTTATTCCCCAATCAAACTGTTAAAATGAATGTGATTCCCATGTGAAAACTGGCAAATAGTAGGCATGAATAAATTAAGTGACCTGTCCAAAGTCATTGACTGGCTGACCTCATAGTTTGTGCTCTTAACCTCGAGTTTATAACCCCGGCTGACAACCACAGAGTTTCCCTGCTCAGATTTCCCTCAAAGAAATAACTCGCTGGCCAGCTGTGAAAAATGCAGTTAACTGACAGCCTCCAGCTGTTAGCACCCCCAGGATCTGCCTTGCAGTTCTACCAGAAGCCATGATGTTTTGAGAGGCCCCAGCTAGTGGCTGAGCACAGCAGGGGTGGTAGGAACTGGACATCCCTGCCCATCATGGACTCCTCTAATACACAGTCTTCTGCCAGGAGTTCCCCACTGAGTTCTCACAGACTTTATCAGATCAGCATTGCAGTCTGAGGCTCTCCTTACCCACTCCTTCCTCCTTCTCCCTTTTATCTATTACAGAAATTATTCTGAAAAACAAAACAAAAACTTCCACTACTCCACCATCCATACTCAGCATCTGCTTCCTGTGGGACCCAACTGACATCTGACATACCCTGTCTTCAAATATGATATGAAAGAGCATTTAGAATTGTCGTCTAAATGGTGATAAGGGCTTAATTAATTAGGACAAAGTGATTGAACTATCAGGAAAACAGCATATATATATATATATATATATATATATATATATATATATATATACACACACACACACTAGTAAGTCCTGAGCACAAATCCGTGCACCAGTAGCTCTCTGTGGGGCCTGGCTATTCTGTGCCCGCTGCCCAGAGGCTCTTCATGGCCCAGAGGCCCATCTGAGGCCAGGTGGGGAATGCTTGCCTTGTTGTCGTGGCGACAAAGCAAGCATCCTGGCAGGCTGCTCACGCTGCCCGCTCTCAGCACCGCCCCTGGGAATGGGGGACTCCGGTGGGGGCTGAGAGGACTGGGCACCACCATCTTGTGGCTATGGGCACTGCCAGCTTTGTGACGGAGTGACAGTTAATTTGCATATTACCCTTTCATTAGATAGGATGCTTTCTGATAACTAGACCTGCCCAAACAAATAGAGCGGGCTGCCTGAAGACTGATGAGTCTTCTGTCCCTGCAGTCATTTAGACCAGCCAGAGAATGGTTGTTGTTAGAAGGTTGCATGACATTGCTATAATCCCTGTGTGACAACTGGCACACCTAGGATGCTAAACATCCACAATACAAATGGAGCAGCAAAAATCAAATTCTCGAGAAAGCCACCTCAGAAAGACCAAACCTCTGGTTTTCCCATGGCCCAATGGGTCTGGTTTCATATATGCACACCAACCATTGCCTACATATTACTTCTTCTTCTTCTTCTTCTTCTTCTTCTTCTTCTTCTTCTTCTTCTTCTTCTTCTTCTTCTTCTTCTTCTTCTCCTTCTTCTTCTCCTTCTTCTCCTTCTTCTCCTTCTTCTCCTTCTTCTCCTTCTTCTCCTCCTTCTTCTCCTTCTCCTTCTCCTTTTAATCAATGGAATCCTGGGAAGTGACTTAAGGCAGCAGGTTGATTGTTCCCATGGGTTATTTGGCTAGAGGAAAACCAAAGTGCACATATGCTCTGTTAAACACACTGAAATATGAGTTCAGTGTCTGATGAAATTCTAATGACACCTTCCGCTGACTCCCGGTTCTTAAGCTCAATAAATGGGTCCCCCGGCCAGAAAGATTTAATTCCTCCGTCCCTTCATCAAGACACCAGCATATCAATGAGGGGACACATACTCTCCCCCTTCCAGCATTTCCATAACAGTCAGATAAGTAATCTTACGTTGCAGATTGTAAAATAAGAAATAGGAAAATCTGGTAGAAAAACAATCATCAGCACAGGGATCTGTATATAAGGAGATGCTCATTAGATCTGTAAATATTTACAGGACGCTCTTGCAGGTGCTGGGGATGCAGTGATGTGTCTGACAGCTCCCAACTGCGTGGAGTATTCATTCAAATGCCTTTGAGAAAGTCTGCTGGCCCTTCACTGAGGGAAGCACTCAGAGCCACGATCGCTGATAGCGATCCTAGAGAGAGCGCTGTGGGGCCTCCAAGCTGATCTTTTCACCCTCTCTCCACACCCCCAAATTCCTGTAGTACCCTTGCCACTCACTATCTACATTTTCAAGAAACATTTCATTCTACTCATAGTGCTTTGAAGCAAATTCATAAAATTTGCAAGAGAAGTTACAGAAAGTAATCTCAGCAACATTTGTGGTTTTTTAAAAAAACAAAACAAAACAAAAAAACTGATGATACAGCTGACCTACAGGAGACACAGGCAGTGGGAGGGCCCTCACTGGTGTAAATAAATAGGCGTCTCTGGGCTGAGAACCCACAGCAGAGACTCAGAGCTGAAGTCTGAACTCCACCTTCAGGCAGAATGAGGTTCATCCCCGGGTGTCTGCTTCTCCTGCTGCTGATCAGCAGCCTCTCTCCAGCCCACGGTGAGAAGCTGGTCGCTGTCTTTTGAACAGAAATGGTCTTCAGACATTTCTTTTTTTTTCTTTTCAATTAGAAAATGGGGGGGGGGGGCAATATGACTTGGGGGGGAAACTGCTCACTGTTGCTAGATTTCTAAAAGTAAGGTACTTAAGAATTCAACTTTTGGAAGCCTTTGTATTGTTATGATTGTTAGCCATAGAAGGAGGGGTATGGATGCCCACTGTCCCCGTGACTTATCCTTGGTTTGTCTATTCCTGGCTTTTCTCAGATGCAGCTCTGCTATCACTAATTCTTTCCAGGTATCTCTCCTTTGCTCTGTCAGTGCCACCCCTGCTGACCAAACCCTTGAAGGGATTTAAAGATTATGAACTCGACTGGTTGGTCTCCTGCAGGGAACGTCTGATGCAATTCTGTATGTTTAGCACTGACACGAGCCATTATTAATACCGCAGGAGTACTTAAGTACAAGCTTTCCGCAAAGAAGCAGGCTTCCACGTTTAAATGGGAAGGCGGTCTTAATATGTAAATAAGTTTGGGAAAGAAAATAAAAATTAAAAAATGAATGGGAAGGCGGTCTTTGTGTAAATAGACACATATCTAGTTGAAGTGGTGACTTTTTATACACCGAAGGGATCAGATGCATGTGCAGAATGATTCACGCGGCTATGGTTTAGAGGACAAATTTCCTTAAAATGCAGAGAATATTTTTTCAATGATTATTTTGCAACACATGTTATTTTCATTATTCAAGACCCTCATTTCTTTCCTCCATTGCTCCTGGGAAAGCCCTCTGGTCCCATTATGCAGTTTGGACGTTGGGTGAAATACAACATTCTGTGGTATTTTAGTTTTCGCTCATTTGCTTTCTCCACTATATTATAAATACCTTGAGAGTTGAGTCTCTTAGATTTGCAAAACCATGTCACGCATGGTGGTAGGCACTGGGATTAAAGAGGGAAGAATTCATTCAAATGCCTGAGATGGGTTACTTATAGTACTTTTCTAGTACTAATAACTTGTTGGATAAAAATAGCTTTGAATTTTTGTTTTTATTATTGGCTTTTGGATGGTATTTCCTCAAACAGAGGTTGATAGGTGGTGACCTTGAGTAGGCTAAGAGGGAGCGCTTATTACTGCTCTGGGATGAATTTTTGTGCTCCATTTCTAAGTGTTTGGAGTGAAGATCAGATGATTTCCTACTGCATTAATTATAACTATAGTGATTCTCAAATTTTAATATTTGGACCATGTCCGGACTGCCAATATATTTCTGTCACAAACTTCAGTAGGTGTTGTGTTTTCTACAAAACTAATTTTATTTTTTTAGATTTTGGTAGGAAATGTTTGAAAATAAATCAAGGCAAGCAGAAATACTGACCCTAAAGGAACACGGGTGGAAGCACCAACTTGACATTTTTAAGTCTTCGGCTGCACTGTATGAATGACTAGTAAAGTTCCTGTTATGAATGATATGCCAAAGGGGTTGAAATAATGGATTCTGTGTTCACAGGTGTTCTGGAGGCCTGGAACACGAACTTCAAGTGCAAGTGCATGAAGTCGGTTTCACGCCTGAACAAGCGCAGCATCATCAGCAACATTTCCCGGGTTGCAGCCTATATGCCTGGGGATCATTGCCCACGCAAGGAAGTCATGTAAGTTACAAGAAAACATATATGTGATTCCTGTCTTCAGTGAAAATCAGATCATAGCTTCTATGTAGTATTTTTATTTTATTTTATTTTTCAATTACAGCTGACATTCAATACTATATTAGTTTTAGGCATTCAGCATAATGGTGAGACATTTGATATAATTTACCAAGTGATCTCCCTGGTAAGTCTAGTTACCCACTTGATACCAAGTATAATTATTACAATATTATTGACTATAGTCCCTTTGCTGTACTTCACACCCCATGTCTATTTGGTACCTGCCCATGTGTACTTCTTAATCCCTTCAACTTTCCCACTCAGTCCCCCAAGCCCCACTCCCTTCTGGAAACCATCAGTTTGTCCTCTGCATCAATGAGTTTGTGCTTGTTTTGTTTGCTCAGGGTTTTTCTTTGTTTTTTGGGGGGGTTTCACATACAAGTGAAATTATGTGGTATTTGCCTTTCTCTGTCTGACGTATTTTACTTAGCATCATACCCTCTAGGTCCATTCATTTGTTGCAAATGATAGGCCACATAGTATTCTTACCCAAGAATCTCAAAGTGATTAACTTTGAGGGTCACTAACAAGTCTCAAAAACAAATAATGAGAATAATAATAGAACAATGAGCATCAGCAATATTTGTTCAGTGCTTGGCAGGCATTCACTCATTTTATCCCTCGGTCCTTCTCTAAGGTATGTCTACTGTTATCATTCCTTCGAAGATGCAGAAGTTGAGTCGTAGGGAGGTTCAATAACTGCCCTAGGCACACCATTCCAATGGGACAGAGCCAGGACCATACTCATATGTTTCCCATTCCCAAACTCCTTGAATCCACCACATTCAAACTGCCAGCAGATGCAGAAATGTTGTTTCCCACCAAGTCAAAGAGCAAGAAAAGAAGATTCTACAACAGTCCTTGTCTAAAGGTCTATTTTACGGAAATGCCCTTTAGTTTTTTGTTCTGTCAATTTGATCCCACTCTGAATAAAGAGCTAGGCTAAGGGGACAGTAGTGGCTGCAGAAAGTTTAACAGATACTTTTTCTGTTATGGAAATGGTATGACCCCTTGCTTCCGGGACCCTCCCTTTTTGTAATCCCAGAGAAATCTGTGGCTACTTGCACCATAGCATTTCCACATCACATGAGATGGGACTGCACCCTGCATGCAAAGACCCTGGCACAGCAGTAAATTTTCAGTTAATGTTAGCTGCAATGACTATACCCTTATTGTTGAGACAATCAGGTTTGTACCCCCCCTTTCACTTCTGCCAGAAGTTTTTTATAGACAGGGATCAGATATCATTCATCCCTCTATTCCCAATGCTTTATCCCTTACCTGGTATGTACAGAGGCTCAACAAATATTGGATTGGTACTCTGAATGTTTTAAATGGAGTTTTAGATCTTTTTGCATGTCACTACTTCGAACTTTGGTTTTGCCTTCCTGGGTCTATCTTTAATGAACCAAGCACTCACAATGCTTAGTAGGCACGGCGTCTTTCTAGGGATTTGACAACTTTGTCTTCATCGGAAGCTCTCTCTTTGGACTTCTTTAGATTTTTGAAATGTTTGTAAACAGCTCACTTTTTTTTTTTTTTTTTTGGTCCCATTTAGATATCAATACTTTGGACTTCTGACTAATTATTTTCAACTTGTTAAAAAACAAAACAAACAAAAAAACAAATTAAAAAAAACACCACACCATAATATAAAAAATGGGTCTAAGCTTTTTCATTAAAAAGGCATTGTACTTTCACTAAGGGGTTTGTCAGTGAAAGTTCTAACTAAATCACAAATGTTGTCCTCAAATTCAGAGCTCTGAGGTCTAGCCAGGCACTATCTGGGAGCAGCTCCTCTGTTGGGTAGAAAAACGAGACTTATTTCTTTCTACTCCATTTCCTTGGCCGTGAGCCAAGGCTCTCACCTCACAGTCAGAAAAGTAATGCACCGTAGTAATTTTCTCTGCTTTCACTTCAATCATCCTGAAGTGATGAAAATGTAATTTCATATCTTTTCACCAAATTCTGCATTACTAAACTATAACCAGCGATAGAAATGAAAGATGCAGGTTATTATGAGACACTCAGACCACTCAGGGGGTCAAAATAGTGTGAGTCCAGATGACCAGAAATTTGGTTTTCCATAATGAACTCAGAAACCAAATTGGAAGGCTCTGCCCAAGATTCCAGTTGTTCTATGAACCTTGACCTCTTACAATTCACTGAACAAGGGTGGAGATTCAAAGCCGGGTAGCTGGATCCTTGCTGTTTGCCATTTTATAGCTAACATAAATGACACATGAGGAAATTGTATTTTGTTCAGCCACGCCCATAAAAAGCAGATTTTCTCAATTGGCCATCACCTAGAAGACCTCACTTCTTCTACTGCAGGTAAACATGCAACCGTGTGTCTGCCACTTGGTTACCATTCTGATTATGCCCATAGGAAGCTGTGGCAACAAGAGTGGATTCTGGAGTCAGATAACCTTCATTCGAATCCTGTTCTATCATGTGTTTATTATGCAATCTTGGGAAAGCTACCTCATATACTCATTAAGCCTCAAGTTCCTCATCTGAAGGCAAGGAAATAATAGTTCCTCCAGCACAGGACTTGCATTAGGTTAATTGAGATACTTTATGTTACCTGCTGAGCATAATGCCTGGCACATTGTCAGTGCTTGCTCAAGATCAGCTATCAATTATTGTTGCTGTTTTAGTTATCACTTAATTTCTTAGAGCGGTGAGAGCCTCACTGCCTGGTAGCTCAACCAAAACATGCAGATGTCGCTCAGGGCAATCAGCTCTGTAACCTCTCCCACATTAAACTTCATGGGAATTTTTTTTTCAAATAAAAGGTCCTGAAAAGAGTGTGCTTTATAGACTATTTTGTTCTCCCAAGCGCAATGGCCAAAAACATTTAAAAATATATTGTGATATAGCTTTAGGAGTGAGCCAACCTCGGAGTCAGCTATTTGGTGTATCTCCAACTGACATAAAAGCTGTCAACAAAACATTAACCTCTGGCCTGTGAAATTCTGTCAGCTTTGTAGTCAGTTTCACCAGCTCAAACATATGCTTCTGCAAGTGGTGTTCTTCTTATTCCTCAGACCTCAGGCTATAAATCACCTACTCCAGATGCCTACCTCTAATTTTGCTTCCTCTGAGAATAATTATTTTTACATTCAAATCTTACATGCAGGATTGACTAAAATGTAACACGGGTTTACTTTTATTTTTGTTCATTTTTCTTCCAGAGTCTGGCTGAAGAATGGGCCAGCTCTATGCTTGAATCCCGAATCTGAGTGGACACAACGTCTGTTGAAGAATGTCCAGAAGTAAGTCATGGGTAAAAAGGGTTTTCAGATTCTAGTTTGCACTGAGGGTTTTCCCTTTCCTGGACACTCAAAATGGGTGCCATTAAAAAATCATTTTTAATATGTCTTTATTGAAGGGGAAGGGAGAAGGAGAGAGAGGGAGAGAAACATCAGTGATGAGAGAGAATAATTCATCAGCTACCTTCTATTCACCTCCCACTGGGGATCGAGCCCAAAACCTGGGCATGTGACCTGACCAGGAATCAAACCATGACCTGTTGGCATGAATCTGGGTTTGACGCTCAACCACTGAACTACACCAGCTGGGCATTGGGTGCCATTTTAAACTTATGAGAAGTTCCTAAGACAAATGTCAATTCTTCATTATTACTTATCAGATAGGGTTAGGGCGACTCAATTCTAGCAGCTCAGTAAACTACACTGGAAGCCAGTATCCACAATATTCTTTGCTTGATATCTGCAGGGGAAAGCCATAGCTTGTAGTCTTTCTCTAAACATGACTGTCTTGTTTATGTTTTTGTTTCATCCAGTTTTAGGTCCAACAGCCTGCCAAGTGACAGAAAGCCCACATAATAGACACAGAAGGCCTGATGCCAATATTCCAGCACGGACACCTGCACCCCTCCTCATTCCTGCTCGCGGTTCAGTTTTATGAGCAGTTGAATCTTTTTATTTTTTATTTTTTAAAGAGCTTCCCCATACAAGCAAGCATGAAAATATATGTAAAAATCACCCTCTGGAGGCTGATATGGCAAACCTGAAGTTTTTGAATAAAGTAGTCTAATACTTGGAGTTTGCATTCTTAAGTTCCATTTAAGTGTCTTTTGATAATATATCTATTGTTGAATGCTAAATTTTCCTATAAAAATAAAGGCATGGAAATTTAAACCTCAAATCTGAACATCTGGCTTGAGTACGAAGGAAATGAGGGAGGGTTTTTCAATCATTTTATACCCAAGGAAAAGCAGGCTTCCATAAGAGACTGAAAAGCTTCCAGGGAAACCCACAAAACAGCTTCCATTTAAAAGCTCACCTTTAAGAGGATGGGGTCTTTGTCCTACTTTTAAAGAGTTCCCTTATAGGAGTTACTATCTTAGATAAAAACCAGTAACATTCAAACATCCCCATTCCTAAATTCATAGTATATTCTGGAAAGGCACTTATAGGGTGATATTCAGATGTATTCTTTTATATGTTTGATGACAGATGTTTTTACTCCCATCTTTTGCACAGAAATGTTGTTGTTGGTCTCTGGTACCCACTTCTATAATGCTTCTAATTAGTCTAATGCTATTCAATAAACTTGATCAAACATTTTACTTAATTATTAGCAATTCATTCTTAACAGAGCATTTCCTCAAATGTAGACACTCTCTGAATCATCGTTGTGAACAGCAGAATTTCACCATGTTTATTTTTTATTTGCATGCCTCTTACTGCTTACAGATTACCTAAATTACATGGCAAATTGTGAGTGAAGTTTTTGCTGAGATGAACACAGTGGGACAATGCTTGACTCCTGGAGCTTCTTTCCCTTGCTCTACCCAATTTCCTCCAGAAATGTTCAATCTCCTACGAAAGCCCATTTTCACCGTCTCATAATATTGATCCTTAAAGTCTTCAATGTTTCATTTGGAAAAATTTCGCATTCTGTGTTTGACACACAGAAGTGGCTGAAGCTTACCCTGCCACCCCCTTCCTCCCCTGGCTCCAGCCCAGCTCTCCCACCGCTGCACTGGGTTCTGCTGGGTTTGTGCCCCACTCTCTCCCCCCGCTTCTTTTGGGGTGAGGGGTTTCTCACAGCACAACCAGGTTTCAAGTTATATCTGGCTCCTGCTTTCATTTTTCATTTTCTATTTAAATAATTTTCTGGGGTAGGGGAAGTAAAAAGCACCTGTAAGTACAGGGTGGGGCAAAAGTAGATTTATAGTTGTTCATATGGAAAAATGTTATAATAATTAGTAAACAACACTAGCATAACTGGGTTTTTGGGTACTCACAACTGTAAACCTACTTTTGCCCCACTCTGTATTAGATTTTCTGTTGTCTACAATTCAACGTTTCTTTTTTTAAAATTTTTAATTGATTTTTTTACAGAGAGGAAGACAGAGGGATAGAGAGTTAGAAACATCAATGAGAGAGAAGCATTGATCAGCTGCCTCGCCCACACCCCCTACTGAGGATGTGCCCGCAACCAAGGCACATGCCCCAGACCGAATCAAACCTGGGACCCTTCAGTCCGCAGGCCGATGCTCTATCCACTGAGCCAAACCGGCCTCGGCTCAACGTTTCTTTATCACAAACACACACTCATAAAGGGATTGTAAAATGTCAACCAAATCCTACATGCTAGCATTTTCCAGGCTTCAATATTTAGGGATCAGGAATAATTTAATTCTTTAGTCTGATTTTGGTTTTCTTGGAGAAAAGTAGCTAGACAAGTCCCAGGAGCCTCAAATAAGAACTGCTATCATTTTGCAGGTGGCACTGTTATCACTGTGATTCTACAGATGTAGAAGCCGAGACACAAAGAGGTTAAGAAACTTACTCACAGGCCTTCTGGCTACTCAACAGCAAGCCAAAACTTGAACCCAGGCAGTCTGGCACCAGAATCAATGTTTCAAATGACTGTATTAAACTGACTCTGTATGGGATAGCTCCATCGCACAGAGACAGAAGTGTAGGCAAATAGACATTCACTTGCTCCAAATCACATAACTAATAAGAGGCAAAAAACGAATTCCAGGGCCACCTGATTCCTAAGTGAATCTTTTTCATCATAAAGCTATACTGCCTACATTTTTCTTATCCCTAAAAGTATTTCCTACCTCAGCCCCTCGGCCCATCTTCCTCGTCAGGGCCACGCAAAGCCAGGGGAGGGTGGGAGCTCGAGAGCGCTCAGGCTTCCCTGGGCAGAGACATGCACTGAGTGTAGTTCAATGCCCAGGGGAACGGACAACTGTCAGGGCAGCATGAGGGACCCGGGCAAATGTGGAGTGAGAAACAAACAGCAGGGCCAGTGAGGACTTCTAAACTCGCTTTTCTTACCACAGATGCACCCATTCCTCAAAAGCCACAGCAGATTTGGGGGTAGTCAGCCTGATTTAGAACAGGAATCTTAACCCATAGTTAGATTCAGGGTGACTTACTGAGCAGGTAATGGAGTGACTGAGGAAAAGTGATTGTAGGTGATCTGAGTGGGTTGGATCTAGATAGGGAGAACAGTGAAACAGAAAGGCATATTTTAGGAAATTTATGGCTACCTACCTACAGATATATACACATGAATTAAGATCCAAATTGAAATAGAATTGAAGGGAAAACCAAAACAAAGTACAGCTTTCTTTCTTTCTTTGATAACACTGGCAAATATGCTTTCCCACTCTTAGGATCTCAGGAGACATACTATCAACTCCGCTTTTGTTGTCTTGCTTCTATCACCTTCCTTTCTACAATTCTTCCCTTCACTGGGATGTGCCCTGTGAGGGTTGGCATACTAGTAGATCCTGGGCTTTCTTGCTTTGAAGTAAAGTTTGGGGGTAGTTTTTGAATAGAATGAACGTGCTGGTCAACAGAAAGAAAGTTTATGAATCAGAAGGGGAACAACTGAAAGACAAATTATACTATGTGACCCTCAAGGACAGACGAAGGAATTTCCTGACTCATAAGAGTGTTTTTGTTATTCGCAGTGAGTCCCTTTTAACCTTACCTGAGTTTATGCTAGTGAGGTGACTATCGGCACACCCCTAGAAAGCTTCAGGATGAGGTCTGGTTTCCAGAGAAACCCACCATATTCAGTCCCACCCCTGAACCTCCACAGAGGGCAGATGGGGCTGCAGTTCAATCACCAATGACTTAATGACCATTCCTACATAATGGAACCTCTTTTAAAAATTCCTAAACAATTGGGTTTGGAGAACTTCTGAGCTGGTGAACAAACTGAGGTGCTGGGAGGGTGCACCTGGAGTAGGCACGGGAGCAAGGTGCTCCCCTCCTGCTAAACATCTCTTGCAGTAGGAGTCTTCTAACTTGGTTCTTTGTCAAAATTGTCTTGTACTTAAGTTCTTTGCTTTTCAATATGAATTTTTGAATCACTGTATCAATTTCTACTCTCTCAAAAATGATTTTGATAAGAATTTTTCCCCCCCACAGTGAAGTATTCCATTGTGTAGATGTACCACAGGTTTTTAATCCACTCATCTGCTGATGGGCACTTAGGCTGTTTCCAAATCTTAGCTATGGTGAATTGTGCTGCTATGAACATAGGGGTGTATATATCCTTTCTAATTGGTGTTTCTAGTTTCTTGGGATATATTCCTAGGACTGGGATCACTGGGTCAAATGGGAGTCTATTTTTTAGTTTTTTGAGTAAACTCCATACTGTTCTCCACAGAGGCTGCACCAATCTGCATTCCCACCAGCAGTGCACGAGGGTTCCTTTTTCTCCGCATCCTCGCCAGTGCATGTCATTTGTTGATTTGTTGATGATAGCCACTCTGACAGGTGTGAAATGGTACTGCATTGTCATTTTTATTTGCATCTCTTGGATGATTAGTGACTTTGAGCATGTTTTCATATGTCTCTTAGCCTTCTATATGTTCTCTTTAGAGAAGTGTCTATTTAGATTTGTTGCCCATTTTTTTTAATTGCATTGTTTATCTTCTTTTTGTTAAGTTGTATGAGTTCCCTGTAAATGTTGGAAATTAAACCCTTATCAGAGATAACACTGGCAAATAGGTTTTCCCATTCAGTTGTTTTATTGATGGTTTCTTTTGCTATACAGAAGCTTTTTATTCTGATAGAACTTGAGAGCATTATGCTAAGCAAAATTAGCCAGTCAGAGAAAGATAAATGATCTCACTCATTTATGGAATATAATGAACATAAACTGATGAACAAAAACAGATCCAGAGACAGAGAAGCTTCAATCAGACTATCAAACCTCAGAGGGAAGGTAGGGGAGTGTAGAGGTAGTGGGAAAGATCAACCAAAGACTTGTATGCATGCATATAAGCCTAATCAATGGACACAGACACCAGGGGAATAAGGGCATGAGCGGGGGCAGGGAGTGGGGGGCAGTGGGGAGATAAGGACACATATGTAATACCTTAATCAATAAAGAGAGAGAAAAATAAAAATAAATGACTTTGATTGGGGTTATGCTGACTCTATAGATCAATTTGGGAAGAATTGGCATCTTAATAATACCGAGTCTTCCGTCGTGAATGCAATATATCTCTCCATTTATGTAAGACTTCTCTAATTTCTCTGAGCAATGTTCTATAGTTGTCTACATTCAGATTTTACAGTTCCCCAAAACCAAAAATGAGCTATAGCCTTTGAAAAGCATTCATCTGTAGAAGCAATACAAGCAATGTATTCTTATTTATCATTCATATCATTTGGGAAGTGGTCAGATGTGGTTTGTAGCCTAACTTCAACTGGACAATATCACTTCCTCCTTCAACGAAAAGTAGTGAATCACTTAAAGCAATTAGATGGGATATCCTCAAATTCTCCCCACCAGATTTGCAAGTCTACCCAAAACTCCTTTTTGGCTACATTAAACTTGGCACCCTTTCTCCTCATTCCTCCAAGGCCAATCCCTCAACCTGTATTTAAATATCATCCCCTCTTAGAATCTCAGGAGACCTACTATCAACTCCACTTTTATTGTCTATAATCAACCACTTCCTCCCTATTAGTTTTAACTTCTTACCATTTAAACATATTATATTCTCTCCCATTTCAAACAAACAAACAAAAAGCGAAACAGTCTTTTCCTGGTCCCCTTCTGGCTATTCCCTCCCCTTTCTTTCCCTCCATCACAGCCAAACCTCGGTAGTTAATGTGATTTCCCCAGGGATCTCTCACTCTGTAGCTCCCTCCAAATTAATAAAAATTCTACCTCTATTAGTGTTCTAAACAACTGTCATAAGGTCACCAATGGTCAATGTAGCAATATCAGTCAGCTATTTTCACAACCGTGCTATGTAGCTCAGTGGCTTGGAGCAAAAACATGTATTTCTTGACCATGTGTATGCAGGTCAACTGAGGTTCAGCTGACAAGGGTGAGTTTGGGATTAAATCCATGTCATTTGTTTGGATCACTCTACTCCATGTGTCCCATTTGGGGCAAGGATCAGATGTCTCTTATGGTCTAGGCTTGGAATTATCAACTTATTACTTGCGCTCACATTTTACTGGCCAAAGCAAGTCATAGGGCCAAATCCAATAGTTTATTTCACCTCTAGTGAGACTGCATACCGACATGGAAAAGGGAATGGGTACTAAGAGCAGTGAAGAACTGGGGACAATCACAAA